CAGCAGGTTGAGGCTGCAGTGGCCGGGAGCGGCCACTGCACTCCAGTCTGGGCGACAGAGTGAGACTCCAACTCAAAAAAATAAATAAAGAAATAAAAAGAGTAAGTGTATAGAAGTGAAGCTATAAAGACCAATTCATGGAAGAAACCACTCACAACCCATTCAGCTCACTTCTCAAAAAGGTCAGAAATAAGAGGTTTTCTGGCCTGGCTTAAGATAATTATTTTTTTCCTCTACCTTTTTGCATATGGGCAGCTGGAATTTGAGACATTTTTGTCCCTTCCAGGCAATACAACTAGGGCATATATGTTCCTCTAAGAAGGCTCTGTGCCAAATATAAAGGATGCTCTAGGGCCAGGCCAGGCTCACTCCTGTAATCCCAGCACTTTGAAAGGGCATGGTGGAAGGATTGCTTGAACCCAGGAGTTGGTGACCAGCTTAGGCAACATAAGGAGACCTCATCACTACTAAAAAAAAAAAAAAAAATTGCCAAGCCTCCCAGCTACTTGGGGGACTGAGGTGGAAGGATCGCCTTAATCCTGAAGGTTGAGGCTATAGTGAGCTGTGATCTGATGGTGCCACTGCACTCCAGCCTGGGTGACAGAGTGAGACCCCAAATTTAAAAAAAAAAAGATGCTCTAGCTAGATGTAGCCATAATCCCTAAATTGTTCAGAGGCACAGTGAGAGAGAAACTTCACCTCCTATACTAAACTAACAGCATTCAATGGCCCCCTTGGCTGCTTACAGGTATCAGAGAGAATATAGTGAATTTAAACGGCAGCAGCTGGAGCTGGATGATGAGCTGAAGAGTGTAGAAAACCAGATGCGTTATGCCCAGATGCAGCTGGACAAGCTGAAGAAAACCAACGTCTTCAATGCAACCTTCCACATCTGGTAGTGAGGACTGGAGGATGAGGAGCATCTGGGGGGAGCACTGCACTTGTTTAGCTCTTGACCTCTAAGCCAGGGTAGCCACCACTCACAAAAGAGGGAACAGTGAGCCGGGCTCGGTGGCTCAGCCTGTAATCCCGCGCCTTTGGGAGGCTGAGGTGAGTGGATTGCCTGAGCCCGCGGGTTCGAGACCCGCCTGGGCAGCGAGACCTCATCTCTACAATAAATAAAAAAATCAGCCGGGCGTGGTAGCGCGTGCCTGTAATTCCGGCTACTTGGAAGGCTGAGGCGGAAGGATCGCCGGATCCCAGCAGGTCGAGGCTGAGGTGGCCGGGAGCGGCCACTGCACTCCAGTCTGGGCGACAGAGTGAGACTCCAACTCAAAAAAAAAAAAAAAAAAAGAGGGACAGTGTGTTATCTTCATCCACTAGGTTTCTTTCATTCCTCACGATGCGGTAGGCACAAGCAGGGGATTAGAATTCTAGAGCTTGAGAACGCACACCCTTCTAAGGAAAGGAAAAGATCTGAGCTCTCCAGCCCCTGGAAAACCTGGTCAGCTGCCTGGTGCTGATTTTTATTCCTGGGGTCATTCATGTGTTAGCTGATGCTTTATCCATTTACCTTGTAACTGTTAAGCACTTACTATGTACTGGGTGCTGTCCTAAGCGCCAGGAGGCAACAGCAGACAACACAAAATACAGTCTGCCTTCTCGTTACTTATAATCTGGTAGAAGGGATGGATGATAATAAGCACTTGTAGTACAGTGCACTTTACCCACTTTGGGGAGGCCACATGAATCGTTTCCCCCAGAGGAGGTTGATGTTTAGGCTGAGAGGTAAAGAAGTCCTGAGGGGTGGGAGAGGTTGTTCCTGGCACAGAGAATATCATGTGCCAAGAAATGGAGGAGAGGGAGTGGTGAATTCAGAGAACTGAAAGGAGCTTATTGTGACTGAAGAATGAGTATAAAGGGGAGAGTGACTGGATATGAAACTGGAGAGTTACCAGTTCCTAAAGGATCCTGTAGGCCTCATTAAGGGGTTTGATCCAGAAGGTAGTGGGAGCCACTGAAGCATCTTAGGCAGGAAAGTGACAGGATTACATTGTATTTGTGAATACCAGCTTACCTGCAAGTGACAGGATTACATTGTGTTTGTGAATACCAGCTTACCTGCAAGACTTGGGGGAGAAGTGGTATTGTAAGACTTGTCAGCAGGAATCTAAAGGGAAAGGAGAAGTAGCATTGACTTTGGAGAGAAATGGGCAGATTTAAGAGATTTAGGAGGTAGATTCAGCAGAGCTTGGTAGTTCTGCGGGGAGGAAGCAGAGAGAGAGCATTCACAAATAATACCCAGGTTTCTGCTTTCGCATCTGAGCAGCAGGGGGAAAGATGATGACTCAAGCTTTGGACATGTATTTAAAGTGCCAAGAAGAGCTTGGATATGTGAATCTAAAGATAAGGAGAGAGATTTATGCTAGGTTTTGGGTGAAAGCGGGAAATCTCTGAAGTTGTAAGTAATCCCTGTATTTTCTCCCACCCTTCCACCTTCTTCTGTAGGCACAGTGGACAATTTGGCACAATCAATAACTTCAGACTGGGTCGCCTGCCCAGTGTTCCTGTGGAATGGAATGAGATTAATGCTGCTTGGGGCCAGACCGTGTTGCTGCTCCATGCTCTGGCCAATAAGATGGGTCTGAAATTTCAGAGGTAGGAAATGTAGTCCTTTCTTATGTCTTGGATGTAATCTGTGCCTCCAACCTGGTACACCATGGCAGGAGCCCTTGCTGCCAACACACTGAGTATTTTCTGTGGCTGGAGACAGTCTGCTTCTGGTTTTCCCTCATCACAGAGCTCTTTGTATTGACCATGCAGTCACTGAGCTGCATGACCATAGCAGTAGTCCCCAACCTACAGTTTCCAGACTTCAGTAGTCCTCAAGATATTTTTAGTTTTTTTTTTTCCTTTTTTCTAATCCCATAATAGATTAGTGGCGTTGATTTTTGCATGAGTGTAAAGACTGGGTCTTGCTATGTTGCTCAGACTGGTCTCGAACCTCCAGGTTCAAGCAAGCCTCCCACCTCGGCCTCCCAAAGTGCTGGGATTACAGGTGTAAGCCGCCACACCTGGTGGCCTTGTTTTTTAAAATCTAAACCAGCTGGGTTTGGTGGCTCAGCCTGTAATCCCAGCGCTTTGGAAGGCTGAGGTGAGTGGATTGCTGGAGTCTGCGGGTTCGAGACCAGCAGAGTGAGACTCCAACTCAAAATAAATAAATAAATAAATAAATCTAAACCAAAACATTGCATTTGTCCAGGGAAGGCCCCCAGAAATTATATAATACGTGTAGTTTGTTCAGTAAATAAAATCTTTTAAACATGCATCCTATGGGGAGGTGGGAAGGGAGTCTAGAATAATAAAAGAAGTCTATAGATAGGATGAAGAGTGAACATCATTAGATAATAACTTCCCAGTAATCACTTTAGGGTGGATACTTCCTCTGTCCATCTCTGTCTATATCTCTGTTTTAGGTATCGACTTGTTCCTTATGGAAACCATTCATATCTGGAGTCTCTGACAGACAAATCTAAGGTATTCTGGAAAGCTCCATTTTCACTGGAATGCAGAGTTCTTATAACTTCTAATGAAATAGGTGGTTTGCTTTGATATTGGCATTATTCACTTTCTTTCCTAGACTGAGATATCTTATGAAGAGCCACTCTCTTATTCAGTATCTTGTCTTGTTCGGTTTTAATTCTTTGGAGTGGAGCTTGTGGAGAAAAATTAGGTTTTTGCAGTCTGTTGAGTAGGGATATGGGCAGGTCAGAAGAAGATGTGTGTGCCAGGAGAGGGAAAGAATACTATAAGGTAGATGTTTATAGGTTGAGCATCCTTTATCTTTTTTCTTTTTTGAGTTGGAGTCTCACTCTATCAGAGGTCAGTGGCATCATGATCATGGCTACCTCAGCCTCAGTGTGCTCAGGCAATCTTTCTGCCTCAACTTCCTTTTTTTTTTGCGTTGGAGTCTCACTGTCGCCCAGACTGGAGTGCAGTGGCTGCTCCCTGCCACTGCTGGGCTCCGGCGATCCTTCCGCCTCAGCCTTCCAAGTAGCTGGAACTACAGGCGCACACTACGACCTGCTGGGCTCCAGTGATCCTTCCGCCTCAGCCTTCCAAGTAGCTGGAACTACAGGCGCACAGTACCACGCCCAG